ATAAACAAAATAGACAATATTTTATCCGAAACGAATAATTAGATTAGATCTATCCAATGAGACAGAAGCTAAATTAATATTTTGTTGAATAACATTAGATGGATGCTTTTCTTCGATATATATATTATTTAAATGGTTTTATTTATTTTCTATTTTGTTTATCAAAATTGAATAGTTTGATGCATTGCGACATCTGTCACTGATGTTTTCATGGCTACCCATGTCGATAGGACACGTTACCGACACATGTGTCGACACAATGACACGATGGAGTAACATGTAATGACACGTGTCGACACAGTGAATTTTTTGTACGTCATGTGTCGACACATGTGTCGGTAACGTATCTTGGACAACGAAGGGTATATCGTGGACTATAATACAGGAAAGAAAAAAAAAACGGTCGACATTAAATATATATGATTTCTTGGATTGTTTAAATTTGGACAGTTATATGACCATCTAAGTATTACGTGATATTTCTAGGGAGGGGGGAGGGAGGAGGAAGGGGGTGAAAATTTTGATCGCGTGATAATTCATACGTTACTCGCGTTGGGTATCACAATCTCTTGGAATTTATCATTAATACTAAGTAGTGACTTTCAAATTTTTTTTTTAATTAATGTTAATAACTTATTTTTTTGTTTCTTTTTATTTTTAATACGATTCTATATTTTAAGTTTTAGATAATTGTATTAATCATATGTGCAATCAATGTCAACAGTGCGAAAAAATACGGACAATGATGATGAAGAAAATGATGTATATAGTGAGTGTACTCATGAAAAAAACTTTAAGTCAAATTAAAAAGAAGTGATTGCTAGGGATGTCAATTTAGATTCACTTTCAATTTAGTTTATGTACAAATTAGATTATCAATAATTTAAATTTATTTCAAGTGTAATTTTTTTTATTATTCATGCTTAAAAATGAACATAAATCGTGATAATTTATATTTATTTGAAATGTTATCTTTTTTATTATTTATATTTATTTTAAGTGTAATTTTTTTTATTTATATTTAGTTTACGTATGCTGTTTTTAATATTTAGATTTATTTTAAATATAATCTTTTTTATTACATGTATTTAAATTTTAATATAATATTTTTATTATTTGTATTGAAAGGCGAATATAATTTTTTTTAATATATGTATTTAAATATGAATGTAATTTTTTTTATTATTTCTATTTAAATATGAATATTATTTTTTTAAATTATTTCTATTTAAAAATAAATGTGAATTATAACATCTTTAAGATAAATGTAAATTATCATGATTTAAATTTATATTTGCCTTTTAAATTAAATAATAAAAAGATTTGTAGTTACAATAATCTAGCATTATAATATATTTAAAATAAATATTAATCATATTAAAAAATATACTTAAAATAAAAATAAATGATCGTAATTTTTATTTAGTTTTAAATGTAAATAATTAAAAAGAATTTTTGATTAAAAATATATTTAAATTATAATATATTTAAAATAGATGTAAATTACAACATATTCAGAATAAATATAAAGAGGAAAAAAGTTTATCTTTAAAATGAGTTTAAATTAATATTGTTTATATTTAAAATAATTGTAAATCACGAAACATTTATAGTTTTTATAATTAATAAAAAAATGACACTCCTAACCATTGCTAGTTCAATTACTAGCATGAATTACGACAAAATCGTAGTTTTGTTGATTTACGATAAATTTTCGTATATTGAAAGTTTTTTTCTCTAGAAAAATTGTGTAATAATCGTCGACAAAATAAACGTAGAGAGACACTGGTGAACTTGTTTACTCCAAATAATTTAACATATACTGATTTGTCTGTTGTTCATAAAAAAGGTTAGTTATTTTCACTAGTCGCTGAGTTACGTAGTTATTGTATTTTAATTAATAGATTATAATGTTGTGAATGACGAAATTAATACAAGTGATGATATACTTAATGATTCATTTGATACTTTCAATGAACGTGAGTGATCTCTTTCAATGATAAAGCGATTTTTCCATCGCTCCTATTTTAATAGATTGTTTTTCCTCAAATACTGATCAAAACAATGAATCTTGTCATATGAATTTCATCAATCATGGTAAGATTTGTATATAAAGGGTATTGGCATAATAAAAATATTAATGAATAAATCATGTTCTTGAAAAAATCTATTTTCTCCTATAAATAGCCTTTTGTTTAATAGATCCACGAAATTTTCATGTCAATAATGAAATAGATGTTTTAAATTATGGTGCTACTGCTAATGATGAAGAATTAGTTCATGATGCTATATTTGATTTTGCTGATGCTGAAACAGAAATTGCTTTGGAAATAGGAAAATATATACGTGAAGCAAATTTGGACAAGACAAAATCAAATAAGTTACTTAAATTATTAAATCATGTCTACGATCATAATAACTCACCACCATCATCAATGAAAAAATTATTCCATAAACTAAATATAACATTTGACTATTTAACAGTTCAATATTGTACAAATTGTCTCTCCGAATTACATGAATCTTCATGTTCCTGTAATATCAATAATAAACAATTACCATCTGAGCTGATCCTCTTCCCGATTGAAAAAGAAATCGTTCGTGTAATTAACAACAATTACAATTTAATTATGAATTATCGATTAGAAGAAAAATTCTTTAATGATGACATTATCAACGGTATGCTGCATTACTTTCGATTTTTCTAAACAGCTTGTTTTGAAGAGTCTCGTAGTAGAGCTAACAACTGAACCGTAAAATGGATGAAAAATTGAGCTAAAGTTTTTAGAAAAAAATCCATTGATGACATTCCTCGCCGAGTTTTATGTTTGAGAAATCGGATATGCATAAATTTCTTTGTAGATCTAGTTTAACTATAAGATACATACTTATTCGTAGCTTTCTATTGACTTGCATTGAGTCGAAAAAAGAACGTCATAAAGAAAGATAATCATTTTCATTTTCGCTTGTTGTTTGTTTTTAGGAGAGATCTATAAGAATCAATCAGCAAAAAGCTGCAATCCGATAACATTGTTGTTGTCTACTGATGGGAAACCTACAATAAAATCAAGCAAATGTTCCATTTGGCCTGTAAGTATTTTATCCTCAGCTTGAATGTGTGTCTTTTTTGCTAACCAATATCATTGAAAAAGACGATGAGACTTCAACATGGCCTTCACACAGAAATTAGCGCAATCTTTATAATAAAACTTCTTACTGATTACTATGCAGTTTTTCTCTATATGACAAAAATACTACACATCTCGTATGAATTCTAAATTAGTACATTAGATTTTTATTTTATCATATAATTTCCTACATGTAGTGCACATTCTTCATGGTATCTGATGAGCTATGCTATTATGAATTTTTTATTTTTCTTTCTATAGGTACTAGCGAATATAGTAGAAATTCCTAAGCCATTTCGTGACAATGAGAAAAATTGTATTATGTTATGTCTATGGCATTCACCTCGTGGTCCAACAGCTGATATATTATTATCTCGAATTGTTCAAGATCTTTCACGCTTGATGAAAAATGGCATTCATATTTATGTTAATAATATAGGTAAGAGAAGCTCGAAAGACAAATAAATTATTAGTTGACAATACTTCACAAAAATACTAATATATTCTTTTTTTCGTGAAATATTATTAAACTCAAATATCTTTGTGATCGAGGTCCCAACAGGCATACCTCTTACATACCTGACCAGCTCATGACAGGCTGTTAACTCCTCAAATCTATCTGTGCCTGTAATCCTTTTCTGTGAGCTTAGTTTTCCTGTGTGGTTTGTTGTAGATACCAATAATTGTCTTTATGATAACTGACTGGAAGCAGAATACTGTCTGTATGAAAAAGTTAAGAGGTCATGAATATCAAAATGCATTAATTATACAAAGAGTTCTTTGATTTAATATAGTATGTATTGTCGAGAAGAAACAAAATAGACCATCTTAGCATTTAACAAGACTTTTTGAGTAAGAAAGTTTCGAATGAGCTACATGAAGACATAATAAATCTTAACATACTACTACAATCTAAACATTAATCAGGAAATAATAAAAATCAGTCAACGATAAATTTATGATAAAATAATAACTGAAAAGAAACTGAACGTTAATCTAACCAAACACAGATAAAGTAAATGGCTGTACTAATGATGAATAACGTAGTAATAATCTGTTATCAGTCGTAATTATGTTTAGTCCAAATGATTATAAAAAATTGTCCATCCTCCAGCGACATAGATACTACACTATAAATGATGATAGTTACATCTCCCGCCTAGAAAAACTTTTTTCGTTGAAAATTTAGAAAAAGAAGACGGGTAGGTATCTATCTATTTTAAACGGTCTGTCTTCCCTGTTAGAGATCTCTACCTAGTCTTTTCTCTTTCGCCAGCTCAAGCAAACAGGTGCAGGTAGATTTGGCAGTCTGTGTAGACCCTTGCTTTGTGAGCACCTGTAATAGTAATAGAACTATTCCTATTGGAAACAAAATATTTGTATCGAAGTTTCCATCAAACAGATATTTTTGGCTGGCTAGCCTACAAAGCTTTCATCCTGTTGCCGAAAAAAAGCTATCTTCATTTATGTCTACTTAGGTTATGTTCATTTTGATCTTTATATTCAAGCTATAATTGCTGATGGACCTGGTCAATCAAAAGTAACTCAAATGGTATCACATAATGGCTATTTTGCATGTCGAGTTTGTGAACTTGAAGGAACTTATCACTCACTTGATAAAACTTGTACTTACACTTGGTCGTCTTTTATTGATACAAGTCCAAGTTTTCGTACGAAAGATCGATTCCAATCATGTTTAGAAGAAGTTGAACACCTTCAAAAAATGAATAATAAAAATATCAATGTTTGTGGTTTGAAAGGAATTTCTCCTCTAAACCAACTGCTATTCATACCAACGCAAGCTATTTACGACTACTTTCACCTTTGTCTGGAAGTAAGTTTGATTTTATCTTAATTGATCTTCAATTTTCAAACAGAATGACTATTTCTCAAGATACAGCAGAGATATCAGAAGTTAAGACTTTGATATTTTGATAATTTAGTTTAATGACTCAGCAATATATAAATATCGTTAAAAAAGCTTGAAAAAATTGGATAAAAAAAAGTATTTTTATTCTGTCGGAGTTTTTTGATACAACAACTTTGACTAAAACAATGACAGCGAAAATATTACTTCATAATTTATTTTGTTTGTTTTTTTCTAATTTAAGGGACATACAAAAGCCTTATTAAAAGAATGGAATGATTTACATGATGGCACAAGTATTTATACGCTTGAAGTTATTGCTGAATTTGACAAGTTTTTTTTTAACATTCGTTATCCTCATTCAATTCATCGTCATGTTGAAAAATTTCGATTTTACAATGATTGGAAAGCATCACAGCTACGACTGTTTCTATTATACGTAGGATTACCATTTTTGCTATTTTTTAACAAGTATTTTCCTCCATTAATCGTTTATCATTTCTCATTATACTCAATTTACATACGAACATTATGTCACTTTAATGATAAACAACATATTTATGATGTACGTAAATTTATTGAAACATACCTTCGTCGATTTTCCGAATTTTACAAGACATCAAAGGAACTGTTATCTACTCATTGTCAGATACATTTATCGGAACAAGTTATCCGTCATGGTTCGTTGAGTTCAACGAGGTATAGTTTATCTAAACATTTTTTTTTGGAGTTGGTAATATAACAAGTTGCTTGTGCTATTGACGGTGATTGAATCAACTGTGTTAGATAATAAACACTTGAAGATCATTCCTCAATCGTTATATACACATAACTACTTGATGTTGTCTCTTCCTCTTCATTTCTTTTCTTTTACATCTATTCGTCAATTTCGTCTTTCGTCAATACATTGACTCGTCTTCTTTTCTTTTAACTTAAGGACTTTTTTGACATTCGTCTTCTAAGAAAGAAGAATATAATGGTTTTCCGCTCTCTCTTTTCACACAATTTTTTTTTGCTTAATAAACCATTCATTAGCTTAGTTCGGAAAACTACAAGTTATCTAAATAACTGACGAAGAATTAATTAAATTTTAAGTTTTACATCTATTGATTGTTGCGAGAGATTCAAAATAGGTAAAATGGAAACATATGATTAGTTAAGTAGTTGGGACTCACCAATTTATAAGAAATTTTTCATTAATATTATTGATTATCTTTAATGAAGAACGATTGATCCTAAGTTTTCATAACATTAAATTTTAATAGGAGTGCTATACTCTACAATACCACTAAGGTTTTCAGAAATCGAAGTCCTAATATTCTGCAGATGTATACAGATACACTTTAATTTATTAGAGAAAGTCGCAAATCTTGATATGTTGATTTGTTTGTATGTTTTTCTTAGTATGTTTCCTTCTGAATCGTATCTGCACGGATTTTTCAAAATAGCACATGGAACACAATATTTAGCACGACAAATTGCATATTGGTATACAATCGATCGCTCGATTCACTCTATGTCAGTTCAGAATCAGCCGACTATCAATCAACATGAACATCTTATAGATGGCTATATGGATGAAAATGTTGTTCTAAAGTATAAGGAAGCATTTGATCGTACGTTTTTTGTCAAATTCTCTTCTTATTCAGACAAGTCAATTGTTTTTCGATCTCGCTATACAACAAATCTAATTGTATATCATTCCTTGTCGTACACCCTTTGTAAACAATCAGCTAGCTTTAAGGTTTGCTTTAATAACTGTTACTGTACAAAAAAAAAATGTTTTGGTGAAATTATCTTTTTTTTCTCTTATAGAAAGAAGCTTTATTTTTTTCTTTCTTCTTATTCTTGTTCTCCATCATATACTTTTTCTTCTTCAATTCAAAGAGATGAAGATTTGCCTCTTTGGTCTGAACATGTTGATAATCATTATTATCTTGTTAATACGAATATTGTTAATTTGTTTATTTTTCCTTGCACAGCACTTCTTTCCAAGTGTTTATGCTTTCTTTTCCATGATAGCCGTTTTACTGTTTGTACACCCATTGACTATGAACTTGAACATGATTAAAAGAAGAAACGCATTTATTTGTTTTATGATCATATTTTTCTTCTAGATATTTTGTTTCATAATTGTATCTATACATTATCCTCAACAAATTCTGCTCAAGAAAATCGTTTCTTCTTTTTTTATCTCATCCTCATTGGATTTTTAAGAACATGTCTAACGTCACCAGTTACAAATCCAATACTTCGCAACGAACATCAGCAATTTCTACTACATCATCTCAACATCGAGCTTCATCTCAATGGCAAACTTCATCAATTACTCAACGTTCACCAATTCGTCAATCTTCATCGGCTTTTCATTCAACTAGTCAAACAAGCAATTATTTTGGACCTGTTCGCTCTTCTTCAGGACATAGTAAGGATATGTTACTTTTACTTTGAGATCCAATTGAAAAGTACATGACGATGATGAAGTTGCAGAATTGCTTTCATTTTTGATGAATTCTTTTTTGTATCTTCATATAAGAATTGCATAAGTCTAGGATATATTGAAAAGAACTTCATTATATGCTATTACATGAATTTTAGAGTCTTAAACATACCTGTTTGCACATGTGAGCAATTGTTTGAATATTTCTAGATCAATCACGTACATTTGGTACTTCTAACAGTCAACATCGTGCATCACCTTATTCTATTAATTCTCCACGAATGAATCGACGACAAGGTGAACTTTTTTCTACAAATAAGACATAAAAAATTTTTTTTTTCAACATCTTATAGGTGGTATGTCTTATACTGAGATAGATGTACAACCTGTTTATGGTGAAGAAGAAAATGTTCGTCCTGTACAACTAGTTGACAGCCATAAAAATATACTTGATGTGATTCTTGAGAGATGCAATTATTTAGAACGTGAAATGCGATCATTACAATGTAAAACCGACAAGTTGATAAAAATTGCGTTAACATCTGCTAAAAACGATCAGGTATGATGCTACAATTCAATAAATAAATGAAGTTTTTGAAAAATGGCAATCGGGAGTTTTCAGCTTCATCGAAAACAAGATTACTAGAATCAGACATACACTTCATTAGCAAATTTTACTCTAACAACAACTATTGTAAAAGATTTATTTATTACATTCATATATACTGAGTTTGTAGGAGACTTTTTTCCGAATCTTAAGTCTTTTTTTAGCCCAGTGTGTAGTGAATAAAATGTTTTACCCTCAGCCAAAAGATATTTTTATACAGAAATGTTTTATTTTATTCAATAGTATCAATTATTTTCTATCGTATTTTAGGATTTTCTTACTACAAAACCAAAAGTGAAACCAAATCCAATTGTAAGTACTTAGTGTTCTATAATTTCTTTTTTGCTTCAATGCATCGAATTTCATTATAGATGTGGAATAAAGAGAATTTGCTCGACAAACCTCGTGCACCGTTGCCGACAACTTACTTGTGCTATTTGGTACGTAAGATGTACACAGCCGACGAAATAAAAAACAAGGTTCCACAACAACCACCAGAAGATGATGATGATGATCGAATGGCAAAAATTAAAGGTATTTCTTTGTTTTTAAATAAGAGGGATGAATATTATTTTATGCGTTGACTTGGTTCTATATGTTGTGCGCTTGATCAAGAAAATATAAAGTTCAATATGCTACAGCAAACAGACTTGATATAATTTTCATCTATAATGATTTTCAACAAAATTTATAACTTTTCCAATCACATATACCACATGAGTATAGAGAATAAAAATAGTCTTGCAATCGTTCAATCTTTTGCATATCAGATAAAAAGCTGAGTATTTTTTCTTACGTTTACTCTATCTGTTTCAATTTGTATTTTATAGAATGCCTTGTTGCATTGTATTTTTCTCATGAACCATCTTTGATTGACGATTTCATGTCCACAAGAGGTCATATAAGTTTATATGCTCAAGAACGAACAAAAAAGAGCCGAGATAAGTAGGTTATTTTTTCTTATTTTTTTTTAATGGTGATTTTGTTACTTAAAATTTTTATTTATTCTATTGCAGAGCTAAAGCAACAACAGCAACAATTACAAACAATAATACACGAAATATTAATCACAGTAACAGCAATATCATCAATGATTACAACGACTCGAATCTTGATGATAATAATGATACGTTTTGAAGATATTCTTGAAAACAGAAGAAATAAATAGACAGTAGGTAAAAATGTATTTTTCGCATCGGTTTTTCAATTGTCCAACTAAAACAGGTTGTTATTGTTTTTCTTTCTCGTTATTGAACTCTATTTTTTCCTTTAAACTCTTGTTGATGTTATGTCTTATTTTCTTGCAACATTTTTTATTGCGACAGTTGTTTTTTTTTCTGTGTTGTGAAAGCCATATGTTGTCCATCATTTACGTGAACAAACATATTCGAGATAATTTTAATGAAACTCTTGTGGATTTGCTATTTTTCATTATAGTGTTCTTTTTTTGTTGCTGAACTCTTATCTTTTTTTGATCTTTTCTTCATGTCTTATTTTCTTGCGACGTTTTATATTATGATAGTTGTTTTTTCTATGTTGCGAACACCATAATTTGTCCACCAGACGTGAACAATCACATTAGATCTATTTTTATGAAATTCCTGTGGATTTGTTTTTTTTATTACAGTGTTATTTTTTTTGTTGTTGAATTTTTTAGCACAATGATATGATACGGAAAAGAAAATGTACTTTATATTAATATTTCATTTTCACTTATATACATATTTCGTAGAAAACTTATTGTAAAGCAGAAAAAAAACTTTTTGTTGTTGTGTACACATATTCTAAATTTTTTTCTTTGTTTTAGATAAATTACTTTTTATTTTTATTTTAGATTAATTGAAGTTTATCATGAACGTTTGAACTCCAAACAAACTCGAGACAAAGAAGAAAAATTTTTAGTTTTTTCTATTTTATTGTATTCATCTTTTTCTAATTTATTTAGTTCTATTGTGTTAATCCTTTCTAATTTTTTTAAACTTTATTATATAGAAATTTTGTTTTATTTTTTTTATTTGTATAGATGTTGCTATTATCTTTATTTTATAGGCGATTTTCTTATTGTTTCTTTTTCCTAAAGAGGTGTTTTTATTATTTTATATTATATTTTTTTCTATTGATATTTTTCATTATTACTTTATTTTATTTTACTCTTTAGACTTTTTATTTTTCTTGCATTATTGTATAGATACTTTTCTTATGTGTTTTTAAACTCACAAGAAAAGCATCTATACAATAAAACAAAAAGAAATAAAAAGTCTATAAAGTAAAATAAAATAAAATAATAATGAAAAATATCAATAGAAATAAAAAATCATATAAAATAATAAAAACACGTCTTTAGGAAAAAGAAACAATAAGAAAATCGCCTATAAAATAAAAATAATAACAATATCTATAAATAATTATTATGTACGTCTTTTTTTGTATTGTTATGTACACATTTTATTATCAAATAAAGCTTAATTTTTAGTAAATTCTTATTTCAAATTGAATTGCAAAAAAAGGTAAAAGGAGGGTATGAATCATCAATAATGTTTATTGGTTGACAGCTAGCGACAGAAAATGGACCAATAAAATTACTAGAAAAATGACACTGACACGCGTACGACACAACGGCCGTACATGTGTTGACACGTCATGACACACGTTACGTACATGTGTCGACACACCATGACACTGTGTCAAAACGTGACAATACTTCATGTGTCGACACAATTGTGTCGACACATGTGTCGGTAGCGTGTCCTATCGACATGGGATATGCTAAAGGAGAGTCTTAGGCAGTTTTTCATCAAAAATACTTTATTTTTCTAATCAATATTTTCACAAACTATTCCTATGACCATACAGTGCACCTCAATAATATTTCCTTCCTATGCATTTCTAATTTTAAACTACTATAGTTCACTCTTTTTTAAATGAATTAGTGTTAATTGCCTGAAAGGAAAAAGATCGAAAGGTAAAATCTCGAAAAAAAAACACCGAAAAAAATCTCGAACGGCACGAATCTAGAATCAGAAATCTCGAAAATTTCAACAATCTCGAAAGTGTAAAATTTAACATCGATTCAGGTGCTTCAGCAATACATGCTTTATTAATTATGAGTGTGTTGCATAATAAAAAAATAAATAGAAAAAAAAGAGGATGTGAACAGGATATTGACAATGATGCGATGTTTTACCGCTGCAGCTGCAGAGAAAAAGTAACACAAAAGAAAATTTAAAGGGAACACATATACAGTAGAAAAGTCAGTATTGATTAAATATTTATTTTTTAAACTTCATGTCCTTTGCTACAAGTAATGATAAACTTTGAAGATATTCTTTTAAATCAATTTCCATCTTTTCAAATCTTGATGATAAGTTTTGCAGCCGCTGTTCCATAACTGTTGTTTTTTTCTTTTGTGTACCAGCCTGAACATGAACTAGTTGTTGTTGAAATACCACCTCCTCCATTTTAACCTCCTGGATCCGGACAATTCTTGCGTTCTTTACGATCTTATAGAAAAATCAAAAAATCACTCTCTCTTGCGTCCTATTATCGTAAATCAGCTGTATACATTTATATTTTATTGTAT